GCGAGCTTGAAAAGTAGCCCCCCGAAAAATAAATTTTCCCCCTGCCTATAATGCAATGCGTCACCATTACTCATGTACAAAAAAGCAGTTGCCCCCATTTACATTGTTATGGAGTGGGAGTTGTCTGCAGGAATTTGCTAGATTGCTCTGGGTAAATTGCTCTATCCAAGCGCAATCATTGCGCGATAATTTAAACAAATGAACATTCGGCTATGCGTAGATACCAGAGTTGAGGCGGTTGTTTGTATATTTTTGCTGTGATGGTGTGAAATGAAGCGAGCGTTGTGGGAATTTGGTACTCATGCTTTTCCCACATGCTCTATCTTTCTGTGGATTTCCGCACAGTGGCATGCGTGCGGAGAGACAGTGTGTTGAACAGGAGAATTTGAACGACTTTTACGTGGAATTATTAGTCGATGGAGAATACATATACTTGGTAGCAAATATTAATACAATTTGTATTTATTTACAAAAATTTGATTATTGAAACAGTTAAACTGATTATTACGAGATTTTTGCTCAGAAACACTCGAACTGAAAAAAATGTTGCTCAATATAGTCTCACCTGACAGCGGAAATATCACTGATTACACCAACGGCAACATTAAAAACACTAAGATTTTATCAGTTATACTTATAGCATAGAAAATTGGATATGAACACATCGTAACAGCAATGCATTTTTGTTTACAGGAAAATTGCTGCTGACCATAGTACAACCAGAGAGAGGTTTGACCTTGGATTTGTTAACTTTGACTTACAAGCTGATATCCTTTGATTTTGCATTTGTGTTATGGGTTCACAACAAAGCTACATCTAGAAGAGTTAGTTGTGTGACAATGTTAGAAGAACATGAAAACAGCTGTGATAACAATGAGGCTTAAAGATCCTATGAAGAATAACCTCTCTATCCTTGAAGGTATAACACTAGTTAACATATATCAGGCACCAGGTGTTACACCTGCAGCATAACTCAAGAGAAGAAGAATTGCAATATTTTAAATTTTGGCATTAGTTTTGTTTACATCATGCTATTATGTATTTATACTAAATGTGTATTAAAAATAATAGTGATAAATACTATTCACTTATAATAAGCTCCCAGTCTAAAATTATATGCATGTTCAGAACATTATTTGAAATGCGTAGGAACAGCAGTGTGTCTCAGATTCAGACCTTACTACCTTACCTTTAGCTTTGTACTGTATACCTAGATGTGATGAAGTAACACTGTGATGAGACCCAAGTCTAAGTAGGAAATGTAGCCCACAGACAGTTGTGTACAACTACAAGCTTTTCCGACATTTTCGATAGAGATTAAATTCTTTTACTGACATTGATCAATGTTGAAACCAAACTGGCACTACATCAGCCTCATCCAGGGCAGGTGAGAACTTATGCATGTAATCGGTGACTGACCCTTCCTGTCCCTTATGGAATTTTTCACTCTTGGCATCATGTTTGCACTCGGAAAAAGGGGGATTTTAGAACTTTTCTAATTTCAGAATTACGAATAATGGGTGATCAGCATGTATATATGTTTAACTGTATCATGCATAGTAATACGAAAAGCTTCAGTAGTGTTATTTCTGTTCATTTTGTTTCGTGTCTACACCTTGACATGACACACATTTGACTCCAATATTCAATTGGAATGTGAAACAGCTTTTTCTCTACCTGACTGCTGAATATGAAACAGAAAAAAATGTGAGTAGATTACTATAAGTTTACCTGGGTTTCTGCCAATCTTTAGTACATACCTGATATCTACTTTAGTAACTTCTATTAGTTGAATTAGGAGTACATTCTCCCAGAAAACAAGGAATTAACAGTTACAGATGTGATTTGTTCAACTGATAATAATAAGACTAAGTGATAAACAATTTCAACATTTGTAGCCAGCTTCTAGCCAGAATATTATATTAATTATAATAATACTCCTAATTTCAGTCAATAAATCAAGTTGTCTTATGGGACAAAATCATTCAGCGAGGAGAAAATGCTGTTTTGGATTACAGGAGCCTTAGGTCAAAGTATTATTTCTGGGATGACGGTAACGGTCTCAGGTACGTGAACATATTTGGTCGTGTGTGTGTAAAATTTCACTTAAGCATGAGGTGCATTGTAAACAGTACAACCTGCAAGCAGCTGCAAGATGTACATGAATTGAATGTAAATGTCTGTGTAGCAGCATGTTATCACATCAAGGTCGTAAAACGTCTTTAGTAATCTTTAGTAATACTGCCTCATCCCTCTTCCCTGGGGGTGTTTAAAAGTTGACCCCCCCCCCCCCATCGCGCCCCAATCACTGTTTGCGTGGTGTATAACGCACCAGCATATTGCGTGGACAATCACTAATCTATCTACACTCTGCAGTTCATATGCATCCCACTCATCCCAAGCTTCCCCCACATCCCCGTCACAGTCTTTGTACCAAACAGTACCGTACTTTCCCAGGTGAGGCGTTGCCTCGCCGTCGAGCCGCTAGCTAACCCGGCGACCTTTTCAGGGGCAATCGCAACATTACGCTGACGCTCTCGTGGAACATTGTGCCCAACTCGGGCATGCTGCCGCTGCTGTCGGGCGACGGATCGCACCGCTTCGAGTTTCCCAGCGAGTACACAGAGAAGATGTGAGCGCCTGTTGTCACGTAGTCAACTCATGGAGCCCTGCACGTGCAACTCCGGGACATGTGACGGGCGGAGGCTGCTTCGTCGTCATCGCGAGGCAGGGAGATGAAAAAGCGGTGGAGGAGAAAGCGGTGTTGAATATTGTCAGTGTTTATTTGTCGGTGATGTAAGCGCTTCTCGTATCAGTGCGTCTACTATTGGTGTAATCTGTGCACACTGCAGTATAAATATATGCAGTGTGGCAGATGCGTTCTATTCTATCTGCGTTAGATTTCACTTGAAATCGTTGTAAGAATTGATCTGATAGTATAATTTAGTGTATGATCAGAAATAGAAAGATGAAGCTGGCTGTTTGAGAATTTAAATAATCAACATGGAGAAAGTATTTATAAAACGTCTGACTGCAGTTTTGATAAATAATACACTTTCTATTCTAAAGCATTCAAATCTCTGTATTATTCTTATCATTCTCGTGTTCCAAGTCCTTTGTGCTCAGTTATGCACTGTGTCAATGAGTAGTATCCAGCCGCTACACCCATCATTGGAACAAAATCCTTATCGTGAACAACACACTGATCACCAACAACTCCCACAAGGACCCATGGCGTCTAAACTCGGTAATATTATTATTTCTTTGTTGCAAGACCCTGAATATATTAAATAGTACAACTATGACAACAATAACATGAGTGATACATATTTAACAGTTTTACTATTTTGAAATAAACTGGGTTTTTATTTTTTCAGAAACCACACTAACATTATTAAAAATGTTAACCTCCAAATCGCCTTCAAAATATACATATTAGTGTAAAACTAGCATTTACAATTGATACATCCACCAGAAAACATTACCATGATGGTATGTACACCAAACGGCGACGCAGTATCCTAATTACAGCATATCGTTAATTATTACGATGCATCAGGGATCAGGATCAGGAAATTTATTTTTCGGGGGATACTTTTCAAGCTCGCGTGCATGAAAATAGCACTCTAAAATTTGGTTTCCATTGAACTCTATGCAAATTTCCGGGGGCTCTTTTTGGGGGCTAAATCGCCCCGAGCCCCCGTGTATTTTTTTCACTGTCAAGGATACACATTCATTGATTTGAACTAATACATAATTCATAACCTTTCTATGAGAATATGGCATTCGATTTTCTTCCAGTCATAAGTAGCACTGCAAATGACATGGGAACATTCATTGTACGTACAAGTATTGTTTTGTTATAAAACATCACATAGGAATAACATCACCGTATAAAACAAGGGCAAGGGTTAGCCTGCCAAGTTTATGACGTACAACAAGGCACTACACAGCACCAGAAAATGTAAACACCAACTTCAAGTATGAATGCCTGGTCCACACCAACTATTAGATCCTGTGGCTACTCATGAGTATAAATGACACCTACGATGGTTACTTGTTGATTACATGATCTGCCCTGGTTATCAGGCGTGAGATTATTTCTTCACTCGGAGACAAACCTGATAAATATACGATAACCAAACGTCAACCTGGTAGCTTTCTAATATTCAAAATTGCCTTTAAGCCTCATGACCAGTTTACTCTTATGCTTATTATTCTCTAACTTATATAATCAGAGAAATCACGGAATGTCTCCACGGGCACAGCCTTTTTCTTCATCTGAGGCCTAACCCATATAGCATTGGCTACAGGAAGAAGCTCAACATCGCTACAGCTTCCTGAACATACAAATATCACGACGCAAGCTCCATATCTATTCAACCTACATAATGGAAACAGACCTACCCGAGTGAGAAAACATCAGCCCTACAGCTGCAGCAAGACCACAGCCACAGACCATCGGGAAAAGTGTGGGGAACACAATACCTTTAGATAGTTACTGAATGAAATAAAAACAAACCATGCTTCGGCTTCTTCAATCTTTTTAATTTTACTACGAAGTGTGGAATGTAACCAAAACAGGTATTTCACATGAAAAAGGGCAAGAACTACTAGCTATAAATATTTGCCCGTTTCTCGAATATAGATTCGTCAAGTAATGAAAATTATAGGTCACTGGCGAACAAGTTAGTTTCTCACTGGGCCTGTGCGTCCACAACCTCTAAAATGCAAAACTCCGTAAATTGATCCCACAGCTAAGCATATTATGCATATTGGAGCCTGAACTGTATTTTTCCACCAATAACGCATATAGGGAATATGAAGAGTGGCAACAAAAGAGATTTCCTGCCTTCGTGAGATACTGCAAACACTGGACACTGGCAATCACCAATCAGATACTGTTGCCAGAAGTGACCAGTGTATAGATTTCAATAAGATGAAACACGATAATCATAATGAGAGATTCGGGGGCACAACGCACTAGTTGACACATTTACAACAGAATATACAATTCGTACATTCGTTAATGAAGGAAGAAACATATAAATGAATAGTTTACATCTCGAAATACAAATGATTTACAACAAAGTGGAAACCCAGTTGATGAATGTTCTCAGTGTGTTGAGCAAAAACTGCCAGAAATGCGCTTTTCTAAACGCAAGTGTTATAAACACGATGGCTCAGGTACTTGTAGAAACAGTGAAATCGATTTATTCAGATCAGAAGAGCCATGATACTTACCTAACAGAGGGTATATATGGCCACAGTCACCAACGTTTCATCACGTCATGTAATGTTCCTTATATAGCATCTCGGGTTATTGCCAGTGTTGACATAATCATATTTAATTGTGATAAACACACATGCCATGGCCGTAGCTAGCGTGGGTGGGGGGGGGGCAATTGCCATTCCCAAAGAAATGTAGATACATTACATGGTCAAAGGCGGTCCCCAGAACACACCACGCACGTGGCTTTGCCACCCAGGAAAATGGGTTCGCTATAACACTCGTACAGCTCGTGCATGCTATCAAGAGTACAGCAAAATGTTAATGGGCACTTTATTCTATAAATCATATAATGATATTTTTAAATAAATGCATTTAAACTATGGGACTGTTTTCTTGTTCCATTGTAAAGTAACAATTTCGTTTTTGTCGAAATCCCCCCCCCCCCAACACGAATACATATAATACACAGTTAGTTTATGTTAATTACAAAACGTGAACAATAGATATGTACTGTGATTGTATGTTGCAAGTGTTAGAATGATTACGTGGCAAAAAGAAAATTGTGTGTATTGCAACATTGTGCATTGTCCGTTGCAGGCCATATTTCCTTCCTGTCTATCAGCTTATACAGTGTAACCTGCTACAGCTCCCAGCATTCGGTCTTTGTCCCACGGCGTAGTTTGAGCTTCGCTCAGCCACGATGATTGTCTAGTTTCTTCACCGGCTCTCACACCGTGAGCGCAGCGCATGTACGGTCACTACATGCCATGCCGCTCTCACACCGTGAGCGCAGCGCATGTACGGTCACTACATGACATGCCGCTCGGTACGCATTCACTTCATGCTACTTCTCGCCACGTGTGCCAACGAACGCACGAAGAGCTATCATTGGGAGGTGCACACTTCACACGACCGCCCGCCGGACCGACGAGAAGAACGGGGAGAATCGACGTCAGTCTCCTACTGATCAGAGTTTCTCTACAGTGCTCTAGGAGTTCTCTGGATTCTCCCCGTGTCGCCGCCACGTCATCAGTACGCCTGCAACGCGGTGACGTTCACGTGGTCGAACTTCCACTTCTGCGTCGCTAGCTGTGTATCACATGGATTCATGTAGAGCTCCTGCATCTCTGGGTTGGAGTCCAAGCAGTTCTTGGTCACCATATGATACAGCTGCATAGTTCTCTGGAAAAATAGCGGTGCCGTCGACTCGATTCACGGATTGAAATCATTTTCAGATATATGGTTGCCAAGAAAGATGCAGCACAAACCAAGTTAATTCTAATGACTTATTATCATCACTTGGTAATAATAAATTTCATGTTCAATTGTGTATGGGATGTATGATATGTCATACACATATGCCATCCTGTTAAAACTCGCATCAAACTATTGGTTTGGTAAATCTCATAGCCACTGAGTGTGAATAATTTGACCGAGATTTGAACAATAATGAACTTAAAAGCGAATTCTCCCTCCCTCCCGCATGCATGCATGCATCTGTCCGTCCGTCCGTCCGTCCATCCATTCACTCACCCATCCATCCATTCACTCACCCATCCATACACCCATTCATCCGTCCATCTATCCATGCCTGCATGTATCAATCTAGCCACCAACCGAACTATCTATCTACCAAACTTACCTATCAACCTGCCCGCCCGCATGCACACTCGTCTGCCTGCCCACCTACTTACCTACGTATCTCTCTCTCTCTCCCTCAAACTTTCTCTCTACACGCACACACGCACGGATGCATGGACGCAGACACGTAACTGTGCAAGAAACCACATAACTTACGTAGTTGTACTTCCATTGCTGGTTCCCCTGCATGCCATGGCAATGGAAGAGAATCACAGGCGTGCCTGGCTGCTTGGCCGACACATCAAAGCACACACTTCTCTTGAATGGCCGTAGATCTTTGTGCCACGTCAAGATGAAATGCTGAAAATCACAGAAAAGCAATGCAAGGCTTAATTTAACTTAACGTTCTGTAGTACATCTGTTCACAGTATTATACATGAGTATATATATATGACATATAGGTAAGTGAAAGAGATAGAAGATGGCAATTATAATTAGCATAAGATACTGATATTCCCAGGGTCCATATGTATGTATATACCCATACACATATAAATAAATATATATATACCCTATACAGTTAGACCTCTATTATCCGAACGAGACGGGCGGGGTTTATTTTGTTCGGATAACTGATTGTTCGAATAACTGATCTGATCGTAAAAAAAGGAAGCCATACTGAACATAATTACTGTGCGTGAAAAGCATGTTTAGTTGTTTACAGAGTTTTTTAGGCTTATTAAATATTCACGGGACCTAGAGATCTTGTTCGGATAATCCGAAATTCAGATAATTGATGCTCGGATAACCGAGGTTTGACTGTAATCTACAAAACTCGGGTCTAGTAATACAAAAAGTTTACACATTCTCAGTTATATTAGTTTGAACCAAGGTAGAAATCTCGTGCTACGGTAAGAACTAGCAAATCCAATTCTTTATGAAGCAAACCGGAAGTCAAAGACATCAAAACATGCTGATATGCTTTTTCAAGTGCAACTTACCTGCTCCCCACCCTGTCCTTGGTGTTCCTTGATACAAGGAGCCAATCCAAATCTTTCATTTGACCCCCTGAATTGTGTATCTATGCAAAGGTTGCTCACGGGATTTCGGATCTACAAATCGAATGCAAAAATCTTTAGAGACTGACAAACTGGCAGGAATGTATACCTACTATACAAATCACTACGCAAAGTTAAACCTGCATGCACGCACGCACGCACGCACGCACGCACGCACGCACGCACGCACGCACGCACGCACGCACGGACATATAGACTTAGTTGACACATTAAAAAGTTAGCCCCTAATGCGTCAGTATCCTCTATATCTCATGTAGCCACACATTTCGCTGACAATACTACGTGCACCATGGTATTAACAGTTAGTCCGAAGTTGCCAGAACATATCACCTCTCCCGTTGCAAAGTCCGGCGGTTCTCTTGGAGGATACTTCTTTGGCTGATCGAAGGCGATTTCCTCCATGAACCACTTGAACGGCTTGCACCCTAGCTTGTCTCGCAGTTTCTTCTGCTCTGTGAGGTCGCCAGAGTCAAGGTTTTTATAGTGCGGACGCCGCATATAGATAAACTCCTTATACTCGTCCATCCACGTCTCAGCGACGCGCTTGTAGTTCTACACGAATTGAGGCGCACGAGTTATAACGATGATTAATGAGTCATCTATCAAAACTCAGTCACAAAGAGTTTTATAATCACGCGAGCTACCACTAGAAAATCGTGCAATGATTGATGTAGCTTTTAGAAATAAATCAACTGGAGTATAAAGCTGTTAATGGTTTCGCACGTATAATATATTCTGGCGAGTAATTCGCCTACGTAAGTAGTCGCTATAGCGAGATACTGTTAAATTGCAACACATCAAATGTTAAAGCCGCGTGAACAATTTAAGCAATTGAGAATGGCGGTTGAATTCAAGTTTCCACTAACAACAATAATCAAGTGCAGATTGAGCAGTTAACATGCGCAATGGTTAGCTATGAAATATGTTAGCAGTTAGTAAACCGAGAAATGATCACCAAAAGATGCCTTACTCGCCCAACAAAGTCACCAATGCCAGGGTTAGGGAACGGTGCAAATTTCCTATAGATGTGCCCAACTCGTGAACAAGGCGTATCTACCATTTCGCCACCACATTGCCAGATCTACACAAGAATTGTGTCTATTAATGTCGTGCATTCACTGGACAATATACTAGTACGTGTTAGCAGTACAAATACTGTACAACCTAATGTTGACAACACAGATAGGTTTAGGACATTTGGGGAAGTCAATTCTAGGACCACCCGTTTTGGAACGTCAGGATACAGAAAAGGACAGCGAACGGTCCTGTAAGTCTCACATGCTGTTAGTTGGCCAGACTAAATGCATTCTCTTTCAAATCAGATTACAGATATCATGAGAAATTTTCATTGATTTGACACAGAATGCCTTACATGTGACAAATTTAATTTGAATTTCAACACACTGAGACTACAAATACTTGAAAGTGTGTGTTGAATGTTTTGAATGAGCAAGTATGATGGAGCAGAGACAGTGCTAGTTACCATAGTTTTCAAGCAAAGGCTATTTGCATAAGGTATAAAGCAAGAACAGGGACAATCTATAGTAACAAGAATTATAGTTGCGTTGACAGGTGTCATTTGGAATCACGTGTGGCAACAGAAGATGTACAGCATAGAAAGCACCCTAGCTGTGGAATCTTGTCAACCAATCTACTGTGTGCAATTTCCATATATACTGACGTGCAGGCCACAGCAGTTGCGACTTACACGACCAAGAAAATCTCCGAGTTCGGGAGGGTTAGGAATGGGAGAAAATTGACGATAGATATGGCCGACTCTAGAGCAGGGAATGTCAACAATCTGCCCGTCACATTGCCACACCTGTCAACAGAACAACGCGGGTTAGCACAGAGGTTTCGCGCATGCGAGTCCCGTGTTAGATACCCAATAGATGGAGCCACTGGATTACGATCGTGTGCGCGGCACTCACTTTCCCTAAGAAATTGCCATGCTCTCGTGAAGAAGCAAAAGGGTTAAACGATCTGTAAATGTGCCCTATGCGTGAGCACGGCGTGTCAACGATGAATCCACCGCACTGCCACACCTAGATGTAAAGGCAATAGAGGCACGTGGATGAATCACTCGAACACTATACGGAGAATATATAAATGAACGATGCATCAGGATAGATTGCCACTGAAGTCGTTAGCAGACAATCCGGCTGACCTGAAATGAAATGAAATGTCGCAGTTACGTAAGAATAATATAAAGCAATGCAAAATATGATATGTGATGCTGTGTTACCAGATTAGAAAGTTTACCAGATTACCAGATGTAAATAGTTTGGCACGTCCTTAATCCCTTATGACATATTATAACTGAAACTTTTAGAATATCGATATTCTTTACAAATTGCTAGATTCAGCGCAAAACAGAACGTGCGTATGTAACTAACGCTGGCAATAAGCAGAATAGCAAAGCCTTTCATGGCGGTTGCACTCGCGATTGATGGGATGCTCTCCCAAGCCTATTAGTCGCTATAGAATATTACATCAGACTTTACAGAACATTTTATGCATTGACAAATAAAATATTTGCAGAAATGCAAACGTCCGCTTAGCAAACGTGTTTTCTGTACATTTTCAGTGAACAGCTGTGCGATAGTATTACCAGGCAACGCAGACTTTTAACATGTGCGCGACGATAGCATGATAATAATTGTATAACCTACACTTTTTGCCTCCCATGGTTTTTGCGAACAACCAAACATGCTTTTAGTAGAATATGTTATTACTAAATTCTTTAGACTTTACATTTACGGCGCGACTCGACTCCAAGACTGTCGCGCCAACTTTATGTAAGCTTCAAAGACTGACTCCGAACGTCCGCGAGGCTACCAACAACGACTTGTGGCGTTCGTCTATAGCTTCCTAGTATAATTGAGCGAATAAAACTTTGATGGCGGTGAGCAATGATCAGTAAATCGGGCATTCCGTCGTGAAAACGTTCTTTTCAATAGCAACATTCAACGCTGAATCTTGCGTATAGCTTGCACATCTAAAGTCACGCGACGGTGTATAAGACGACTACAGTGCATCGGTGAACGCGAGAAAAATTCACTATGGCTCGCCATGCAACATCGTGAAAGACGCATTAGGCAAGTCGCTCCCTTCTACATGCTCGCACGCGATGAATCGTGTCGCGCGTCGAATGATAAATCATACAGTTTTAAATGCAGCTATGTATGTTAATGACCTCGCGATCATAACCATCAACTTGTCCTACTTATTTCACAATTAGACGAACATTTACAGGCCATGTCAGGGTGCGAAATTAACGGGAATTAACGAATGTACCGGAGTCAAATACTCCCTGATTTACTGTCGGACTCCCTGATTTGACATATGCAGGAGTCCGTGTGACGCCCTGAAAATTCTGCCATACTAACTAGTTCATTCTGAAGCACGGCCTCACGGAATTACTGTATTTTTTCAGCTAATGTCCAAAGAAAATTTGGCAGACGTGCAACTGCATGAATCTTAAAAATAAGCACATGCGTTACTGTTAATATATTTAATTTTTAACCTCAGGCTGCGGACTCCCTCTTTTTGAGGCTAGGGAGTCCGTTGGACTCCCTTGTTCAAAAGTTAACTTCTACCCCTGCCATGTTATGTGCATCGGCATAAAAGCCAAGCATTTAGGTAGCATCAATGATGCATGCTTAGGCAATTTAGCTCTCACGCGGTAGGGCCGGCCTCGCTAAGCGTGGCCTACAGGCTATGTACAACGCCTGCCACAGTGATGTCATATACACATTAGCTTCATAGCGCATGTGATCATGAAAGACAGAAATGACGTCTGAAAATAATGTCGGCTAACACAACAAGCAATCAATGCAGACAAACACTGTGCGTGTTGTGCGCGCAGTCACGCACGCAATCGACAACGAACACGTCGTGTCAACAATGAACGCGTTCTAATGCGCTTTTACGACATACACTGCCGTTTTGAACCCGATGACATCACGACACACGGACACGGACACGGACACACGGGCGACACGCCCCTCACCCCACCCCTGATGACACAAGCATCCCGCAGATCAGCTGTGCTGTTCTGATCACAGGCACTTGGAGCGTTTCAATAAAATATAACGCTGCATAAATACGAAATCTATTTACTACCAAAGTCTTAATGTTTCTCTACTCTCTTTCGCCTATTATTGCCGACAATTTCCTGTAAATGCCATGGAAATGCTCCTCTGCAACACACATGTACACCGCACGCACGCTGCCGCACACTGACACATATATATATATACTATCAAGAGCTAATAATACCTTAATCTAATCAATCTAATCCAATCAAGAGATAATAATATAATAAGATCAAAAGGTATTATTAGCTCTTGCATACTATCAGGAGCGTATAATCATTATCATTATACGCTCCTGATACTATATATATATGTGTCAGTGTGCGGCAGCGTGCGTGCGGTGTACATGTGTGTTGCAGAAGAGCATTTTCCGTGACAGTATCAAGAGCTAACAATACTATAATAATAAAGCTATAATAATATTATTGTAACATCTGTTTTGCACATGTAGTACTACATTAGTAATTGTAGATAGCATAGGTTAGGATTGGCCGTTTAGCAAGGCGGTACAAATGTTTGGCGTTGGCAACTTGGCATAGGTTGGGTTAGCTCTTGATAGTATCAGGAGTAAGATAATATAGGATAATAATAATAATATAGAATAATATAGATAATATCCTATATTATCTTACTCCTGATAGTATCAGGAGCTAATAATGACAAATAATTTGTCTTTATTAGCTCCTGATAGTATATATATATTATGTGTCAGTGTGCGGCAGCGTGCGTGCGGGTGTACATGTGTGTTGCAGAGGAGCATTTGCACGGCATTTACAGGAAATTGTCGGCAATAATAGGCGAAAGAGAGTAGAGAAACATTAAGTCTTTGGCAGTAAATAGATTTCGTATTTATTTAGCATTATATTTTATTGAAACGCTCCAAGTGCCTGTTATGTGTCTCTGATGCTCTCTTGCGTGGCTCTAGCGCCGGTGGTCGCACACATTACGCGGCCACGCTGTTTATAAACGGTTCGTTTTACCGCCGTGCCGCCGGCTCAATAGCCAGCATCTGCTACGATGAAATAAATATGCCGGAGAGAGCATGTACATGTACGCACGCGCGCGCGCGCGCACGCACGCACGCAAACAGAGAGATATATCAAGAGCTAATAATAACAAATTTGTCTTTATTAGCTCCTGATAGTATATATATATTATGTGTCAGTGTGCGGCAGCGTGCGTGCGGGTGTACATGTGTGTTGCAGAGGAGCATTTGCACGGCATTTACAGGAAATTGTTGGCAATAATAGGCGAAAGAGAGTAGAGAAACATTAAGACTTTGGCAGTAAATAGATTTCGTATTTATTTAGCATTATATTTTATTGAAACGCTCAAAGTGCCTGTTATGTGTCTTTGATGCTCTCTTGCGTGGCTCTAGCGCCGGTGGTCGCACACATTACGCGGCCACGCTGTTTATAAACGGTTCGTTTTACCGCCGTGCCGCCGCCGGCTCAATACCCAGCATCTGCTACGATGAAATAAATATGCCGGAGAGAGCATGTACATGTACGCACGCGCGCGCACGCACGCACGCAAACAGAGAGATATATACACGCACCAGCACTTACGCACATGCACACACACACACGCACGCACGCACACACACACGCACGCACGCACACACGCACACACACACACACACACACACACACACAAGGTTGGGGGAAGCGGCGCCTGACACATTAATATTGAGACACGTCATCACTACGGTGCAGTTCGCAGACGAACGCGAGCGATATAAGTTCTCCGGCGAACTGAGGCGTATATAAGCAAGCTCATGCAATAAACATCGGCGCATGAAGCGTTCGTCGCTTTGAAGAAATATCTGCATAAAAAGCGAACAAGCCTGAAGAAGAAAGGAGCGATTACGCACGTTGGCCACCAGCCATTCACCGAACGCGTTTGAAAACCTACGCGCAGCAAAACACCGGTGGCCGGTCGTCGGCTCCTGTTGATATCGCGTCAGACGGGCATTATGGCGGGTAAAAACACCGACATTTCATTGAATATGTATGAACTGCATCGTATCAAGATGATTACATTGGCATAAATGCTACCGCTCTACTGTACAGAGCTGACGGGAAATAAATTCATACGAAGTTACGAATAATGCATATATAATCTATACGGGATTACGGGGGCTTATCACCACAAAGCAACGGCGAACCAACTTGATCTCGTTGCGCGAATATGGCGCTTCGGAACGAGCGGATTAGGAAACAAATTCGATTATAAATTCGCAAATAGAAAGAATGATCGCGTCAGGGAATAAGCTCGAACAGCCAAACTGTAGAGTGAGCTTAGTCGTTTGCTCCATTTACTATATACTAGTATGCTTGCTAATATTTATATAGCGGCTAATCTGGCGGTACACGGGGTGTAAACAGTGCATGAATGTATACGTAATTAGGACGCACAGGCAATGTGATGCCGCGTGTCAGCTATTAAGGTATTTCGATCCAAAAATACTAAAACACGGCTATGAAATCTCACCGAGAGTACCATTACAGTTAAGGCGATTTCCGAAGCTAAACAAACCATTTATTCGCGTCAATGCAGTCGTACCTTGAATGAGAGTTCGTACTGCTCGCCTCCCCACACGTCCAGCCCAGGATCGTAGCCCCCCAGCTCCCAAAAATACTCCCTGTCCATCGCAAACAGACCACCTGCCATCACTGGGCTCCTAGACGAAGAGAAAATGAAAATAACGACATGGTCACTGGTAAGTCGGTAACGGGCGCATGAATAGCGGCGAGTCGTCGACGGTGAAGGTCGCGCAGCCGACGTCAGGCAGTCGTTCTCTGCCGTCACGAATGCCTACAACTCCGCCACGGATGTCTGCTCGCGTCTGCGCGCTTTTATTGCCAACATCAAAGCGAGATTAGAGAAGGGCCGGGCCGACAGCACGAACTAGATTGACGTGGGCATCCCACTCCGACGTCTTCTACGAGTTTCATTTTATCGCTGCTCTTCGAAAACAAATTCGCCCTCGCAAAAACATTGCGCATGGAGATTGGCAGTCCGCCTTTGTTGAAATCTGTGTGCGCAAGATAGACGTAGGGAAGAAATAAATTGATGCAGTGCGTCTATCTCAAACAATTGAAGCTGATTGCACTATAGCTGTACTGCAAATGGTAGCAAACATTACTGAACGTAAAAAAACACAAACAACCGCTATCAAATTTCCTTCGGCACAGGGGCTGATGAGCCACGCACTCGCGCGCACGCGCGCACGCACGCACGCACGCACACGAACACGCACGCACGCATCTTGAATTAATACATTATATATGCTGTACAATCGTCTCTACGAGGGTTATATAACCTACTAGACCGCACAGAGATACATACATATGGTCATTTGCTATTCCGACAGTCATATTATCAGAAATAAAATAAAATAACACATCATATTTTACTTTTGATATTATCTAAGACTACGCTGATCAGGCTACTTTCCAATAAGTAAGAAACTGTCAGTCGGGTACTCTTCCATAAGCGTGTAGTGAGTTCTCACTGACATGCTCTATATTTTCCAGCGCTATATGTAACATCAGACGTTTCACGAGTCGCACGCGATGTATTCATGTTAGGCTCACCTCTCCTCCCCACAGGAGCGCAGCGTCGCGCTCAGCCTCTCTCTACACGCAGATGCAAGGCGAAGAATCGAGAGAGAAACTATCATCGCGCTATCGCGACGCAGCGCAATGCAGCCGGCGAGATTCCCCAAACACGCCGAGATCAAAGCAGCGAGATGCGACCGCATGATGCGGTCATAATAAATGTGAAAAGGCTGTGGCGCCATCCATGATCGCTTCGTCGCAATATCACACACTACGATGGCTCAGCAGCACGTAGGCAACTAGAAGCAGCGAATTTGCCGCCTATTGTGCGAAACGCACTGAAAGTTGGACTGCCGCCCTTTGTGTGCAACGCGTATTGCCTCTATATATAATAGGGTATATAGCGCGGACAGCCTCCACTAGCTAATCAACGATAGAAGTGCGCACATCAGCATGGTATACAGCATCCACGCGCTTACTTTGCCACTTTCACGTGACTAGCTGTCCACGCAGAAACACGAACACGCTGGCCGAGAACTATAGGACCTGACACTCCCGAGAAAAATAGCTCTCTACCAATAGCTGCCACGTCACATTATTAATCGTGCTTTAAACGAACAGAAATGTACTTTGAACACTTCGATCGACCTTATGCTGATTAAATTCGGTAGCTTTTAAGCCATTTTCCCAATTTCCTGCGTACATGATGGCTTCTAGCAAATCCTATTTCCTAATTTCGCAGCATTTCGATTTCGAAGCGACACACGCAGTAATAAATCTTCTGCCGAGGCATTTTAAACTTCGCTCACAATGTCCAGCAATAACACGTCTATTGCGTTACTAATCGTGCATCTGTGTGGTCCTGCTACGTCGTCCGTCGTCCTGTATAAGGCCCGTCACACGCGTAGTCGGGTAAGTAGGCAATAATACATACTAGCAATAGCACATCAAACCACATGTGCGCATGATGATAGTAGCGTTGAAATATACATACACGTCAGGGGTTAATAATGACAAATTTGTCATTACTAACCCCTGATACACGTCAATACACGTATGTATATAGCCCCCCATTCAGTGTAACAGCAGTTTTACTTCGCTCGTCTCTCTTAGCTCATCACTCACACACAACCGCTACGAGCAGCGGTGCTCTGTAACAGCAGCGGCAGGGCCGTAAAGCTAAGACAGCGGTCGACCACCTACTTGAACGGGTCGGGCATGTTCTTGAGATCGTCTGGCAGCAGCGGCAGGCGCTTGTAGTAGAGCTCCCAGTCGAAGGCTCCCCTAGCGCCCTCGTCCTGCGCGCGGTAAGCAAAGTTCTCATAGTCGATGACGTCGATGAAGGGGCAAGCCACCGTTTTCCTGTTGATCGCTATCGGCTCTGAAACACGCGAGGTCGGCAGCTGGATTCGGATCGGTCGCTGGGCTTCGGGGTGTTTCGTCACTAGGTCACGTTCTTTCGACTAACAGGCTGACGCGAGTTGTCACAATCATCACGAATAATTTACGTCACAACTTTCCCATGACACTTCACTTAAAATGTTACGACATTTTAGCCTTTATAACTAGTCATAAAAAATTTCATTACCCCAGGAGTACATGAATAGAGATGTCTCTTCATGCACTGCTGATGGTTAATTACCATGTTTCTGACAACGCACCCTGCATGGTAATAGTTCATTAGTAGACGCGGCGCTGCAAGTAGCGTGACTGCACAACGTGATACACACGCAGCACTCAGTCTCAAATTCTAATTTAAACATTTCCTGTTTCTGGTTTCTGGCTCGCAAGTCAAGTGGCATTGTACGAGCTTCCCTAAATTGTATGGAAATTGAAGAACTCGATGACGTAAGGAATAAAATACTCGCTAAAATTCTACAGTCGTCATAGGAAATGAAACAGATATAAACTGAGGGAGATTATTCCACCCACAGCTAATCTACACTATATAGTCACGATGAAATATGCGCAGTCAATGACAACGCGTTTCAATATCCTTCACGTTGCACTACAATTCTCTGCGTTTGGATGCATTTCGAATCCTTCATTATTCATCACAATACGCTATGGACATACGACAAAATTGCAATCTAACTCACGTTTCCGTGTGCAACGAGGCGACTAGCTTGCGAAAGCAACAAGCCCGGACTTGCCGTCACCATTGCTTTGCCATCACACCACATCGTTAACTAGAGGATGCTCGCACTGGGATAACAACACCAGTCGCTTATACAACGCGTCTCCACGCAGTTAAGCGCGGAAAGCTAAGTACTATAGCCCTTGTTAAGGGCTATAAGCCTGTAGCAGCAAGGGCTATAGTACAAAAGCTACAACGCACCTAACAGCGGCGGCAACCAGTTGACGTTGGCTTCGCAATGCGAGTCGAGGAAGATGAGCACGTCTCCCGTGGCAACGCGGGCTCCGACCAGACGCGCGCGGATGAGACCCTCGCGCTTGCCCGCCCGCACGACCTTCGTCTTGGGAAGATTCTTCTTCACGTATTCGTCCAGCTTGGCCTTGAGGAAACCTGTGAGAGGGAGATAGAGACAAGGATACCCGTGAGTCATCGACGGTGCGCGGCGCTGCGGCGCGTTCTCGCTCGGCTGCAAAAAGCATATTCGTTTAAAGCTGCTTTCCCGGATTACTAATAAAAATTTGTACGAAAAAGTCAGTCACACGCGCATGAATAGTAAATCGAGATACAAAAAAAACCCGTCAAAATGGGTAACACGCCTAGAGTACTTGAAAGGAAATCACAACTCGAAATCCGCGTATAAACGTGCTGTATAAGGGAGGAAAGTAGCTTTCAATAGGCGGGAACGACCTCGTCGAAGTGACGGTGGGAGCATGATATAACAGCATGTAAAAAGGCCGGTTTAAAAAAATATTACTGCGTGTTAGCTTTACTATGATTGCCGTTGATGTATGTCCACTTTCGTCATTTCCCACGAGGTGAACCCAGGATTCCGCTATTTTACTTCTACATGAAATCATGTAGCGACAGAAGGAACGGTGCACATTCAAACACAACGCAGTGTATGTACGCAGCCTCAGTCTGCAAGTAACATCAATTCTTTAACGCAGACAGACGACACACACGGGAGCCGGGAGATCAGTCATACTGCCTAGCTGATTTAGTCGTGTATAAAAGCGTTCGTCTGCTCCGCACTGCGTGCTGCCGGCACGCGCGCGCCACTGCGGGGTGCCTGTCGTCTACACACACCCACGACGCCTGGCCGAATGGAAGAACACAAAGTTCGCTTCTTTCTCCGCGGATAGAGAAAAAAATCCCGAAACGGCACGCGCTGCGGTGAGGGTGGCAGCCTGTCGCGTCAGCCCTCCCACGTCGGCAGCCTTCCGCGGCTAGCAGCGCCACCACGCGAGAATCAACGGTACCACCGCCCCGCGACGCTGACACTGCTGAGCAGCGCACCAGGCCGAGAATCTACGTACCACCGCCCCGCGGATGCTGGACACTGGCTAGCAGGCGCCACCGCCGAAATCAACGGTACCAACGGCCACGCCAGACGCTGCTATAGCAGGCCACCCTGCGAGATCAACGATACGCCCCGCGACGCTGACACTGCTAGCAGCGCCACGCGCCGAGATTCAACGGTTACCCCGCACCACGTGACGCTGCTAGCAGCGCCACCACCGGAGATCAATCGTACCACGCCGTCCCGACACCAACACTCAGTCCTAGCAGCGCCACCATGCTAAATCAATGGTACCATGGCCCCCACGACACCACCACTGTAGCACCGGCCACCATCGAGAATCAACGGTACCATGCCCCGCGACACCAACCTGCTGAGCAGGCGCCACCATGCGAGAAATCAATGGTACCATGGTCGCCCTGCCGACACCGAACACTTGCTAGCAGCGCCACCGACGCGAAAATCAACGTACCATGGCCCGCGACGCAACACTGCTGAAGCAGGCCAACCACGCTGAGAATCAACGGCGGTACCAGGCCCCGCGACACCAATCACTGCTAGCAGCGCCACCATGCGAGAATCAACGGTACCATGGCCCTGCGACACCAACACTGCTAGCAGCGCCACCATGCGAGAATCAATGGTACCACGGCCCCGCGACACCAACACTAGTAGCAGCGCCACCATGCGAGAATCAACGGTACCATGGCCCCGCGACACCAACACTGCTAGCAGCGCCACCATGCGAGAATCAACGGTACCATGGCCCCGCGACACCAACACTGCTAGCAGCGGCACCACGCGAGAATCAACGGTACCATGGCCCCGCGACACCAACACTGCTAGCAGCGCCACCACTCGCTCGCGCAGATCACGTCTCACGGGCGGCGAGCCGACATGCTCGTGGCAACGACGTCGTTTCAGCACAGCACGTGAGAGAAACGAGCCGCTCCATTATTCACGGCCTTCATTATTCATGCTGGCGAAGTGAGAACGAGTCGATCCGCACAAATGTCCCCTCAATGAATATTGGATGACCCGTATAGTGCGAGGACACACACGCGCGAGGATCTGCCAAGCTGTAATGTCATACATATCATAATATATATATAAAACTATATAAGTATAATTAAATATGTAGATATATACATCAGTCTTGTCTTATATGGAATAGCTTCTTTATATCTAATGGCCTAGTTGTACTCTCAAATTTTTTTTGGGGGGGAGGACGGACGTCAGCCCTATATACATGTACAGCCAGCCACCTATGGCCCAGAATCCGAAATTATAACGCTAGAAACATGCTAACCAAGTACGGGGGTTACTGGATGGGGAATCATCATGCCATCAAACTCTGAAGAACGATCGATGCGTTTTCGTTCTCTCAATTCGGCAATGAGAGAATGAAAGACTAACATAGAAAGAGCGGATATGAATAAATAAACAAACAACCAAATAAATAAATAAATAAATATACGCGGCTCCTGCATGGTCACTACACTACACTCGACTACGTACAAAAATTCCACTACCGTATTGGTTATGCGGTCTCTCCGCTATACGGGTCATTCCCGGGATTTGTGGGCCATTTCCTGGTCACTCACATTTCATTATTAACTATCTTCCTCAATTCCAGAACAAGTCATTAACAAACACGCGTAGATCAGCGGCGCGAGCGTTCTCTTTCATGTACAGGAAGCGACGGCTGAGAGCTGAAATCCGGTTAGGAAAATCGAATCCGCGGTAAAACGTGCAGTGTGCGTGCAATCAGAACTTGATTGCCTCCCGGACAACACCCCGTAGGTGAAGCCTGTCCTCTGATAAGGCCAAACAGCCTCACAGCTATCTACTCGTTTCTGAATATTTCTCCCTCCCTCGTTTTTCCTCGCTTTCCCTCTCACCCTCTGTCTCGTTTACTCTCTCTTCTCACCCCTTTCCCCCTTTCTACCCCCTCTCTCATTCCTCTTCCTTTCTCTCTCCCCCTCACTCGCTCTCCCTCTGTTAGCACTACAGTCTCGCAGCTACGATATATACATATATATATATATATATATATATATATATATATATATATATATTGCACCCTGTACGCACACGCCATTATAGTGCGCGTTAATTGTACGCCGGTAATTAGCAGCAATCAGACGAGCACGGCGGTTATAAGATGACTTGCGGTGCTATGCGGTTCACACCATGCCGTATAATAGCACGCAGGGCGTTCGACCTGTTATTGAGCAGCTTCGTTTTTTTCAGAGCAACGCAATATTTCCTTAATGAATTTACGACGAAACCTCGAGGTTCGCTTGATCGAAGGATGTATATGCATCACGCGCAGCACGCATACAGAGTCCGTATATATCATATACGTGCCGCACACAATCATACACGCTGCTAGTACGTCGCCGGTCGGAAGCGACGATTGGCCGCAATTTGCGCAAACGATGCTGTCATACTCGGTAATGAGCGAGCGTTTTTCTCCGCAAATTTACTCGACGATTTGCGGCGTAGGAAACCCAAAAAGTTGCCTACTTATTTACACGTAGAAACGCACGTTATATGATTCAGCACAAATAGAACCATTTGCGAATAGTTTTTCGCCGAATTTCTCGTACAAATAACGGTTTCAACGAAGCTGCATGGAATAAATTGCGCCATAAATATCCCACGACTACATAACGGTATAACACGATCTGTCATCATGATCAGGAGGTAAAAACCATCGCGATCGCGTTTTTGCCAAGAATACGTAAAAAGCAAAGCAACTAGCCAACACAGAACAAAATAAACATTATTTATACGAATCGCACACTGTACACACACATGCACTTACACCGTGTACTCTCCACATGCGCCTGTGCGCGTGCGTAACTAAATAAGGGTAGCATCTGCACACACATTTATTGAGAGTAGACCATAAAGGCTATATGACTACAAACCACCGTAGGCCTACTATGAATGTGTTATTGATCTAACAGCATGATATACTCACGTGCTTTGTTTGGGGGAAAAATCAAACAATTGGTTTTTATTTAACATTTTTATGTGCTTCTTGAGCATTTACATGACAAACTGCCTGTTGATTTATAGAATAACGTCCCTAAATATTCAAATATATATCCTTCCGTCGAATACATAGTAAGTGTTCGACAGAAAGATACAGTTATGTAGGTTTTACGTTGCGAGACACATGTTTGCACGGCCCGTTTACCCATCTAACCAAAGTATCCACCTAGTCAGCTTTCCTATAAAATCGCATTTGAGTTAAAGAATGCAGCAACGCCGGGATGAAGATGACGAAATTTAGATCGGTGATAGACCCAACTGGTCAGAATATATGCCTAACCCCCGTCACACCGGGGTGGCGTCCTTACTGCGCTTCTACGGCGACAGAAAATGGGCCCAGAGCGCGCCAAGGTCGCCATAAGCGTGGTATAAGCGTGGTGGAAACGCCAGACATCGTGCTGTGGTCGCCATGGTCGCCAATGATCGCCAATGATCGCCGAGTCACGGCGTTTGTTTTGAGCATGTTCAAAACAAACGCCAAGGTTCGGCGATCTGACCTGGAACGCGGTAAGAACGCGGTGGGTTCGCGTTTGTCGGCGACCTTGTACATTTTCTGGTCGCCGTACGGTCGCGGATGGTCGCGGATGGTCGCCGTCCGGTGTGACGGGGGTGTAATATACGAAACTGCTTTTTCAGGAAATTCGAGTGGAATCATGTAGGGCCGTTCTTCCGAGGATTGAGATATTAGCTGTTTTTAACAAGCAAGATTCAACGGGACGGGCTTCTGTAGCGTGATACATCTGTATTTTTCACGGTCAAGGAATCAATGTAGCAGTTCTGCACGGCTTTATGTTGTCTAGTTGCTTAATTAACCTATGTTAAATGTTAGCGGAGTACCTGAATTAACACTATATGACACTAGGTGGTCTTATTCCTTAATTAACCTATGTTAAATGTTAGCGGAGTACCTGAATTAACACTGTATGCCACTAGGTGGTCTGTTTGCTTAATTAACCTACGTTTAATGTTAGCGGAGTACCTGTAATAACACTTCATGCCACTAGGTGGTCTTATTGCTTCATAAATCTTAGAGGGAAACTGACGACAGCATTGTGTGACGCCATAGGTCTTCAACGTAAGTAACACAATATAACTAATGTTTAGTATTAGATGGGTACTCACAATAGTACTGTATGACGCTAGATATCTGCTTAAATAACCAATGTTTAGCGATGGATAAGTACGTATAACAGAACTGTATGATTCTAGATATCATAACAGCTTCAATAACCAATATTTAGCATTAGATGGGTACTCACAATAGCACTGTATGACGCTAGGTAACTGCTTCAATAACCCACGTTTGGTGTTGGAGGGCTACTTGGGACCGCCCTGTATGACACTGGATAGCTGGCGGAAGCACGCGCATACCTTTACTGCTGTCATCGTCCACCAGGATCACCTCCTTGATGAGTTGTGGAGGAGAGTTCTTGATGACAGACCATACGGTGCGCACGAGCGTCGAGAAGTGCTCGTTGTGGAACGGAATCACTATGCTGACCTGCGGAAGCTTATCTGAGTATTTCTTAGTCTTGCACCTGCAAGAAACAGACGACGACCATGTGATTAAAGGGATGGAACAGTGCCGACATGGGCACGTGCATGCACAGGTAGGTAAAGATAGGTTGACACCTGCATGCCTAATTTACCCATCTTTGTAATAGTTGTAAGTGTGATACGAGAGGTGGCAACTAGTGCATTATTGTATAAAGTATATAATGGAGAGTGACCGGTCATTTATCATAACAGGGGGCATGCGACGACAGTGCCATTATCTATTACATCTATTGAGCCCAAGAAGAATGATACAAGGATGGCAGTTGGCGTAATAGCGGGATGAACTAATACTCTCCCACTTTTATGTGGCAAAAGTCTACACCCAAGTAAGTTTGTAATAGTTGAGTGCTACAACCCGCCGTAGCACATAACACAGCAAGAATATCCAGACGCCGAAAAATCTTTGCCGATTCTGCAGCCGTCTCTAATGCTCCATAATAAGCTTCCAAAATGTCATCATTTTCAGAAAATTGGTGAAAGTGTCAGTCAATATTATATTCTCCGTAGCCTTTGACAGCAATCTCGGGCAAAAAAACGACCACTGCACTGGCTAAGTGAGCGCAAATGAAGTGTAATAACTGTTTCATTAGGCATAACCGACGTGTCCCGTTACTCAAACTACAGTATCCACTAATCAGTTTCGTGACCAACGAGGCAATTAGGCAAGTATGACAGCTCTTACTACAATAAATTATTGCGTATAAACTTGGATCTGGAATTTAAATAAAATTTATATATATATATATAAATTTTATTTATATTCCAGATCCTAATTTATTGTTGTAAGAGGTATAGTAAGGAGTATATATTGAATATATATTCAATCAAGAGAAGATATCGTTTAAGTTCGTTTTCACTAACCTGTCACTCAAAATATAGCAAGCAGCAGCAGGAGTAGGCATGTACAATAATGACCACAATGTACTTCTCGTGTCTTAGCTATACGTATACAACTCTACGTGGTGACTACACGCATCCATACTGTCTGTAACGGCTACCTAATATTCGCCCACTTTTTTTATGTTTACGCTTGCATATAAATTTTATTGCATATGATTCCTGGGCATCATAAAATTTACGGTGGATCCTAACCAGACATTGCCGCAGCGACATAAAGCGAGGGACACGCGCATATGTGCATAAAAACGTGAGCACGATGTCCTGATGACATTCCATATTTAGGAATGACTTCATATCACATTTCACGAAGTCTAGATGCGAACACATACGCACACGCACGCACGCACGCACACACACACACACACGCGCGCGTGCACACACACACACACACACACACACACACACACACACACACACACACACACACACACACACTTATCACGTAATGAAAGAATGTCATAGCAACGGTGTAGAAACAACGCAGGCCATGTCAATTTGACAGACAGACGTTAGCTTGCCTGTTACGTTCATCAGATCGATGAACCCCTCACAGCACGGCGATCACAACGCGCACAGCCACGCGAAAACAGAAACATGAAGCGAAATATAAACAATATCAATAGAAAAATAGAATCAGGGGTTAATAATAACAAATTGAGAGAGAGAGAGAGAGAGAGAGAGAGAGAGAGAGAGAGAGAGGGAGAGAGAGTTGACTGAGAGAGAGCTAGACGCAGAGCGAGAGAGACAGTGTGAGAGGAAGAGAGAGCTAGAGATAGACAGGGAAAGGGAGAGAGAAAGAGAGAGAAAAAGAAAAAAAAAGAGAAAGAGAGGGGGAGACGGACAGATCGAGCGAGAGAGACTTAGATTCGTGCTGGTACACTCATACACGATCCGCGATAATCGTACTGGTCTAGGACAAACGCTCACGCATGCACGTCCACAAACAAACCATTTGTATTTCGAGCAGACCAAGGAGCTAAATATAACAAGGAGAGGAAGCGCCGCCATATTAGGCCCAAATTTGGGTTCGGCAAAGACCATAGAACAGATTAGTGTTCTATTGTCTCTGGGTTCGGTCTGCACAGCAGTTTCAGCTGATTATGATCCATAGATGGCGCCCTTGAGGCGAAAAGCGCACAGCAAATCCGCTTCCTCTCCTTGTTATATTAATTTAGCTCTTTGGAGCAGACAAGAGCAGCGATCGAATAAATCTCGAAACAATATTTCTGACGACTCTTACAACGACGACGAGATTTGCTGGCTGTGCAGCTTCGCGACAGCGCAACGCGCGCTTACGTGCGGTGCCAAACGATGCCAGTGACATTCCGAAGATTCATGATCAGAGGCGCGCGTCGGTTACGTGAAAACAGACGATTCAATCGCGGTTATGGGGCTACGCGTAGCGAGATCCAGCGTGTAATTACGCTGTCTGTATTTCTCTAGGCACCCGAGTGACGGCCGTTATTTCACTGATGCAGAGCGCGAATGACGCTGACACTGACACGCGGAGAAGCGAGCGGGTTCACGCAGGTGTCGGCGCCCATCCTCACAATACCCCTACACACAGTGGCGCCCGCAGATAGAAGCACTGGAAGCACTGAATTTTAGGTTAAACAATTTTGTTCCTACATTTTGTTCCTAAATCTCTCTCGCAAGAATCACCAGATTGCATCTCCAGATGTCTACCATTCAAAAAATTTCAGGGGGGGGGCATGCTATGAGCAGGCGACGGCGCTTGCTTTTTATTATCACTGAGGATTTTATCATTCTGTGCTTCTACTTTCTTAAGACCTGTGGGCGCCAGTGCCTACACACATCACCTGCTCCTACACACATCGCCTGCTTCTACACACATCGCCTGCTTCTACACACATCGCCTGCTTCTACACACATCGCCTGCTCCTACACACATCGCCTGCTCCTACACACATCGCCTGCTTCTACACACATAGCCTGTCACTACACACATCGCCTGCTCCTACACACATCGCCTGCTCCTACACACATCGCCTGCTCCTACACACATCGCCTGCTCCTACACACATCGCCTGCTCCTATACACATCGCCTGCTCCTACACACATCGCCGAAGCAGGAGCAGGTGATGTGTGTAGAAGCAGGCGATGTGTGTAGGAGCAGGCGATGTGTGTAGGAGCAGGCGATGTGTGTAGAAGCAGGCGATGTGTGTAGAAGCAGGAGCAGGCGATGTGTGTAGGAGCAGACGATGTGTGTAGGAGCAGATGCTCCTACACACATCGCCTGCTCCTACATACATCGCCTGCTCCTACATACATCGCCTGCTCCTACATACATCGCCTGCTCCTACACACATCGCCTGCTCCTACACACATCACCTGCTTCTACACACATCGCCTGCTTCTACACACATCACCTGCTTCTACACACATCGCCTGCTTCTGCTTCTACACACATCACCTGCTCCTACACACATCGCCTGCTTCTACACACATCGCCTGCTCCTACACACATCACCTGCTCCTACACACATCGCCTGCTCCTACACACATCGCCTGCTTCTACACACATCGCCTGCTCCTACACACATCGCCTGCTCCTACACACATCGCCTGCTTCTACACACATCGCCTGC